AAAAAGATTAATTTTGTATTTCCTATGAATCAAAAAAGTGTAGATTGACAAAATCAAGAAAAAGTTGGATTGACAAAAATACCATCAAAACACCCCTTTTCCTAAATTTCCCTTATATATATTTTGATGTTAGTTAGAGCACTAAAAAGTAAAAACTTCACGAAGTCAAATAGATCATACTATATGATAAATTTCTCTCTCTTTTTGCTTTTTTTCTTTTTTTAGCTAAATAAAATTTTCTTTTTTTCATAACGTGACCGGCCTTTTTAAAAACGTGAATGACACGATGGTGGTGAGTCTGGTGACCCTAGTCGTAAACTCACCCCCGATTACTATTTTAAAACATTCATCATTTTATCACTAAATTCTTGTTATATCTATTCAAGTCAAAAATCTTATGTGGCGGCCTCTCATCGATTTGAAGGTGGTTGATTACAAGAATATCCTCTAAAAAAATCATAAATTACTATCCTTGCCATCGATTTTAATTTCACAAAAATACCCTAATCGAATTGATGAGATTTTATTGATTTGGGTTTGAAATTTCTTTCGGTCCATAAATTTTTTTTATTGGTTTAAAACCGGGTAACCCTAGGTCTATAAGAAGTTATATATATGTCGATCTTATTCATCTCATTCTTATAAAATATAAAATCGGCTTTTTCTTTTAAGTTTATGAATATTCATGTGTTCTGATTTTTTTCCTTTTTTTTGGTAGACGCTAATGATTCTGATTTATCATGATTATTTCTTCTTTTGGTTTGTTTTATCCTTACAAAAAGTTTTAAGTTCTGTATGTTTTCTTAGTGGTGTAGGCATGGAAACCTCATTAGCCCTTGATCAAAAAAAAAAAAAAATCGCGAAGATTTCATCCATTGTTACGGCGACAAAGGAAAAAAGGTTTGTTATAGATATTTTTACCTTTTAAGTATAATCTCTTACCCTCCGACATCTCCGAACGCCATGTGCTTCTAGATTTTGTCGTCTTAACCAACCTACTATGGGAGAGACGACAATATCTATAGCAACCACGAAGAGATAAATAAATACGTACAAATAGAAATTTTTTTATCATGAATACTCTTTTTAATATTTTTGGTGATTTTTTGTTTCTTTAATTTCAGTTCTTCATGATTGTTGCATGTTCTTGAGCTTGACTCAGCCAATCAAGCCATTCAACTACTCATACACACACAAAAAGTTCTTGAATCTCAATTTTTCTTAGTGAAAGAGGTAAAAGCAATGTATATAAATATTATAAATTTTGAAAAGTAAAGCTTCCTCACTCTATGGTTGATTTGACTTTCTTCTTTTAATCGCGAATTAAAACGAACCACAAATATATTTTGACACAAGATATCAAAAGCCTTGAAACCGGCTTATTATGCAAGGTCTAATACATTTGTTGCTCTCTTACCTTTAAACCATTTTGTTTTAGGATTAATCATGTTTTGCTTTTGTGTAGTTTGTATCGTAGCTNGTCCAAACTCTTTTTGTACACAAGGTTCCGAAGAAGGTAATGTAGTTAAGATTTAAACATTCATTGCTTCCCCTTCTTTTATATATATAATTTTATTTGTTGTGTTTACANAGATGCAAAGGAACCTAATCTCAAGNCTTTCGAAAGAGATGCACGACACTGGTAAAGACTCTCTGACATGTTTTGGTTCCTTTAGTGTCACATATATTACTTCTCTGATATGAATCTCTTCCAGGTTTAAGGATAATTCATTACTCTACAATGAGTAAAGTAGTGCATGCGTATTTCAGTGCCAAATGCCACCAACTCAAAAGTAGTAATAGTCACAAATTTTGAGAGTGTGTATTTTTAGGTACAAGATAGTACAACATCTTTGTCAAAGTTCAAAAGTAGTTAAAACTTACTTATATAATTTATAATTAATAATTTATATTCTTTTTGGTTTCTAGGTATTTCATCTTAAGAAATCTCTTAGAACGAGGGGACATCTTCAAGTGTAAGTCTCAAACTCGATACACAAACTATTTTGTTTAGTTTGATGATCTCTCATCTCTGTACCTACAATTATGTTTTTTATTGCATGCTAAAATTGCATTCACTGATGATCATGTGCACTCCATAATATTAGTTCATGTCCTTAGGTGCTCTCAACACTAGAATCAAGACGTCTCTAAATGTTCTTTCACGTTTTGGTGCACGTCAGAGTCCGTTGGTTCCAGAAAGGA